GAGGCCTCAGTACCCTAATCTAAACTCTTACCTGAAGAATTAATACCCTATTTACAAAAAGGAAAGGTATAGAGACAAACTTCTTGATAACAGCAACAATATACATTTATTCTGGATATAAATATTTACAAATTTAAAGTATACTCTCTTAATTTTACAAATCAGAAGACTACTAGCCCAACCAAATATACGAATGACTACTGAAAGCACAACCAGCGCTCTCTGTCTCTCAGGGAAGACCTAAAAGGTGTGCAAAATAGGTTATAAGGTTTGTGCGTTAGAGTTTTCAGTCACTAAGACTCTCTTAGCATCGTGTGGCGCCGTTAAGTGGCGCTCTTCAGCAACCTCTTGTAGGAGGTAATCCCTCATGAACTATCCTAAAGATGCAGTGCTTCAAGAACTACCTGCAGGAAACTGCTCATCACGAGACTACTAGAGGAGGCATCCCTTCAGTAGCGGGTGCTTTCATGCTGCTCAGGGTTCTTAATCCAAGGGAATGAAGTTACTCCACCCCATCCTCGGATCAAGGATAATTACATCCCTGTCCCTTACGTGTGTAGCGCTTCCCCATGAATATGACAATACCAGAGGCGGCATCCTGCTTACAATCATCGACAAGAAGCAGTAAGTCATGTGGGACCCTTCTATAGGATACCGTCTTTGAGGTACCACATAGCGAACAGGACAAGCCAGTGAGAAGGGCAAGCCAGGAATCCTGTCGTCACGTGGGCAGGAAGCTCGCGTCCTCGATACTGTGTGCTGCAGGTGGTGGTGGCGAGGTGATGGTTGTCATGGGAGTGTTGGTAAGAAGGGTTGTGGTGGTGCTGATATTGGTTGTCGGGGTGTGGGTAGGAGGAAAGGTGGTGGCTTCAAATTCAGTTACGTCGTACTTGTCGGGAAGATATGGTACCATGGAAACTATGGTGTGGTATTCTATACTTTTCTACCTCGGCTATCAATTTTGTTTTCATAGTACCATAGCGCCGATGGCGTTTGCCTCCCACTTTTACAGTTAAATGTTCCATGGTGCCATGGTATCATGCCTTACTACTAAATTATTGTTATGAATCCAGTATTTAGGTTTTGTGCATGGTACCATAGAGCCACATCATTAATAAACCTTAAAATATACAAGAGCATTATACTTAGTAGAGTAATAATATCAGCGTTTGTGTACGTAGCGTCTGAGCTGTACCAGCCTTTAAGCACTCATGATAATAACTAACTTCTTAACGGCTGCGTGCAGATAGTTGGCAGTAATGCTAAAGCTAAGTGGCACGTTCTTCCTCGCTCTCTTCCCATGGAGATACCTGTACCAAAAAAAGAATCTTCCTATTGATAACATTTAGCATCCACTGGATGTTTTATGGACATGTATATTCTATGCCTCCGTTCCTGCGGCCACAGAAAACTCCTTATATCGTTATTTTTTTAAACGTGAGAAATATAGCTAGATTGCTCGAGTGTATCCTGCGGCTTCACTATTTTGCAGTGTATGGTTGAGTGTATCATGACGCGAATGATTTCATTGTATCAAGGAGTGTACTGTTTCAGTGTTTCACGCACTGTATTGTTTCAGTGTATCATGATGTCTATAGTTTCAGTGTATAGTGCAGTTTATAGTTTAGGTATACAGTGTTATTGCATAAGTCTTGGTGTCTGGTGACTGAGGAAACATCCCAACTACCAGGAATAAAGACAAATTAATAGACGATGTTTCTCTCTTGATTAAGCTTTATCAGATCCAGACTTGTTAAAGGTTAATTCTGTGCGACACTGAAAGAGTTTCTTCCCTCTTGTCGTTCACTATAACTTCATATTTAAAAACCTTTAATTTATATCATATATACTATATATATATATATATAATATATATATATATATATATATATATATATATATATATATATATATATATATATATATATATATATATAAAATATATATATATAAACATGAATTTGAATGAATGTTTGCTTGACTTCAAATAGTGGCAGTTACTGTTTCAAGCCGGGGCAAACACCAGCTGGATCTCTACTGTCCACAATAGTGAATGAAAGACTCACGTTGCAGAAGCTTTTATTGGGACAACGTATCGCTCTGTGTATAGCTTTGTCGTGACCTGAAGCTCTTCACAGAACTAAACATTGTCGCAACGTGTGTCATTACCTTGTCGCTAACAACCGCGTTCAGAGAACCTGTGTGAAACATAGTGAAAGACTTTTCATCGAACGAGTTATAACGTATGTATGTGGGCTTGACTATATGAATTTGGGGTAGTGGTGATCAAGCCAGACCAAAGCCAGAAATGCCAGTAATGTGACAAGCCAGTTACAACTTCACTAGTAATATGCTGTAGGTTAACTTCTTTCCAGAGGGCTGCCTTGATGATGTTGACCTGATTCACTGAACTAAAGCTACGTTCTCCTTCCTCAGGTCTGACGTGATGATTTCCCCATCCTCCCATTCTCCGGGTATTTACTCACGAGTGTAATATTTTTGTATTTTTGTTTCTTCGTATATATTTTATTTTGAATGTTTTTGTAGATGTTTTTGTTGTGTTCTTTGTGTGTGTGTGTGTGTGTGTGTGTGTGTGTGCGTCATAGGGATGTGTTTGTTGTATTTGTTTCTTGTCTTAATATACTTCCCTGTTTATGTTTTTGTTGTGCCTTTCTGTTATGTGTCATTGGTAATAAAAATATTGTTTCGTGTTTAAACAGCAGAGGAAATATTAATTAAATGTTTTTTTTCTGTTCACTCTAGCGCTTTTGCTGTTAAATGAGGACAGGTATGGTTGTGGGGCAGTTATGATTGTGGAACAGGTATGATCCTTGGGCAGGTGTTGTTGGGCAGTTGTGTTCTTTAGGCAGGATGAAGTAATTGGTAAATGAGATCGTTGGGCAGGTGTGGTTGTTGGGAAGGTGTGATCATTGAGCAGGTGTGATCTTTGGGTAAGTGTGGTCGTTGAGCAGGTATAACTGTGATGCAGATGTGGTCACTGAACGTCTTCGTTGAGCATCTCATATATATATATATATATATATATATATATATATATATATATATATATATATATATATATATATATATATATATATATAATATATATATATATATATATATATATATATCCTTGATGTTATTAATTTCCGAATTCTTCAGGTTCACTTATAATTGACTTAACCGTCTCATTTACCCAAGTTTACAGTGGCAAGAGACGTAACAGAGATTTAGACGGCAGAGCTTTTCCCTGAAAGCAAATTTGGTACTCATAACAGTGACCGATGATGATGGTGACTAGAGGCAGTTATTCAATAGTAGTCTGTCAATGTGACAGCTAGTAGACAACTCAACATTAGCGTTCTGTCGGAATGGTGACTTGTGGGCAGTTAGTCACTGATGGTCTGTCTTAGTGGTGACAAAGAAGTAGCCAACTCGGGGTCAACTGCCCTCTAAGGCAGTCACATACAATACCATTGCCACTATCTCGATCGAGATACTGAAGTTTGAGCTCTCGGACTGACCCAAGATCCGGGTATCATTTACCCAGAAGAAGCAGAGTGATCGCTGGTTGTTATTGACACTGATACTGGCACTGATGCTGGCACTGATACTCACACTGATACTGACACTGTTGCTAGAACTAGAAGGATCAAACACTTTTATGACCATATAACAAGTATTTCTGAATATATTAATACATTTTTACAACTCCATTCGTAGAATATGATGGCTATTTTAAATTTGATACTGAGTAACGAGATTTCCTGTGGCTACAAAAAAAGGAGGTTTTCTGCGGCTATAGGAAGGTCTGCTTTGAATACGGAAGAGTAGGCCTACTCTGAACTACAAAAAATGTGTAGCCGTACGCTGAAGGCAGACAAGAGCGTCGGGCAAAAGAAAATAAACTCCACAGTGAAGGTGGTGCATGGAATGATACAAGAGAGCCAGTAACGATAATATAATGTTTATGCCGATGATTCAGTACATGTTCCCCCGTGTACTTGAAGACGCATATACACGCACACAGATACACTCGCGCACACACAAACACACCTACGCGCACAAAGGCATGTGTACATGCAAATACAAAGACAGTCAGACAAACACACACACACACACACACACACACACACCACACGCAACAGCATAAGCAGCAGCAACAGCAGTAGCAGCAGCGAAAACGCACAAAGTCCCGCCCCCTGTACACCGACACTGTGCTAAGGCACTTTGCATTGATTGATGGTAAGATGTAACAGCAGGTTCGGTGACAGTGGGTGTGACAGCGAGGGGGGAGGTTGCCGGCCAGGCGCCGCCTTACAAGACAGTGGAGGCTTCCACCAGGATCGCTGGGTTTGTGTTAATTGGAAGCCTGGGAAAAGCCTCGGGCAGGGACGAGCCGTACCACCCCAGCACTCTGGCTACGCTGAAGGAAATTTACAAGGGATTAAAATGTACATCAAATGATCACGTGTTTTTCTTCTTTTGTTTACAAAGGTCCTAGTGCAGACCTACAGCCATAACTGACGTTTCTGCACATAAAAGTTATGTCAAAAATACATACACAGAGGACACGCGTGAATCTACAAGCTTAATTAACAATGGGTATTTTTTTCTGATCTCGCCTCATTAACCAATCTAATAAACAGTTCTCTCTCTCATGAGCAACATGGATAAATATATGCTATACATAGTAAACGCTATACATAGTATATGCGACATGTTCTGTATAATTTGTGTATTCATCTGTAATACTGTAAGGATAGGAACACTAAACTAGATATATTTTATATGCTTAAAGATATGCAGGCTAAACCTTATCTACACATGGGAACACAACTGGAGTCTTAGTTTAGATCAGTGGGTTCGGGGCTGCAGCGAGAACCAATAGTGAAGCAGTGGTGGTGGTGGTGGTGGTGGTGGTGGTGGTGGTGGTGGTGGTGGTGGTGGTGTGGTGGTGTGTGGTGGTGTGGTGGGATCGTGGTGATGCTGGTGGTGATGCTGGTGGTGCTGGTGGCGTTGGTGGTGTTGGTGGTGGTGGTGGGGATGGTGCTGGTGGTGTGGTGCTGGTGGTGCTGGTGGTGGCGGTGGTGGTGTTGGTGGTGGTGGTGTTGGTGGTGGCGGTAGTGGTGGTGGTAAGAATGGAGGTGAGAATGGAAAGGGTGGTGACAGGAGTGATGATGATGGTGGTGTTTATGGAAGCGACAGTGTTGGTGATAAAGTTGTGCTGATGAAAGTGGTGAGGTCAGCGGTGTTAACGATATGGGGTAGTGATGTGGTGAAAGTAGAGGTGGTAGTGGTAGTAATAGTAGTAGTACCGGTAATCATGGTGGTGGTGACATTTCCATGCAGGAACCACAAACCATTACTCACACACACACACACACACACACACACACACACACACACACACACACACCATCACCTGCTTCCTAACATTAAGGCTGCAATGAAACATGAACAAAACTAAGAAGGGTATATCTACCTGGTCCTGCACTGGCGCTGCAGACTCGACACCAGCCGAGCCCCCACTCCTCGCCTCATTCACTGATTGTCACAAAGTATAGTCATCCACTAATGTAACAAAATAACGAATCCATATATTTCAATAGAACTCGAAGGTTTATATTCACTTAGCTGTGTAGTCTAGTCTTTTTTTTGTGTATTTGATCCCATTCTTTGTAGCTAAAGTGCATTTTTTCTTTGTTTTTCTTTTTCACAAATTAGCATTTAGATAAGTCGTGAGTTGAGGCGGTGGTTCAGCGTCCTCAGGTCACTCTGCACAACCTATTGTTAGGGAGCAAAGCTAACAGAGCTTTCCCTCCCAATTCAACAATATCTTTAACCCCATTTCTCCCCCCTCCCCCGTATGGAATTTCTTTCACAAGTTGCAAGGTTTTATTGTCTACATAAACAGCCTAAAGAGTCCGAATTTTCTATGTAAATATCCTACACGTCCTTATTGTCTTCACAAATAACTTGTCTTTTTAGTCTGCATAAACAGCCTACATGCCCTAACTGAATGCATCAAGAAAAACGTGTAAGCAGTTCATCAATGATTCGTGTTTTCGCAATGCACAAAGAGCAGTTTTGAGCACTGGGTTTTCTTTCAAGAAAATGTTTGCCCCACCAGAGATCATAAAGAGGCCTATTCTTTTTTTAGCACTTCTTTAGATAGGGCTTACAGCCTCGCTTACCACAGAGGACCACCAGCCGGTGATAGTCCTCTCTTAAGCCCTTTTCACTCAAGCTACAGTAAAATTTAGCATAGATGTAAAACTTGAACGACGTGGGTAGGTAAACGAGTCTCCGTATAAACTACAGGAGACTCATTTGCACTGCCGTTGTCACACATTAACTAGTATAATGCTGCAAGCGCAAGATAAAAAAATAACGCTAAGGTTAGGTAGCATAAAGGCGTGGAGCTGCAATGGGCCTCTTCCCCCTTTGAGACCCACAATAGCTACCTCAGGTTTATAGACACAAAACGTGTGATGCAAGTTAAACTACAACGAAGTTGCTAGGATAGAGGCAACATAGATAAATAAGCGGAGTGAGAAGGCCATAACGGCTAGGAGGTCTTCAGCCCCACCCATCCGTACCGCAAAAAACCGTTGCTTCCCTCAGTCTCATAGGCTGCTCCCATACCTTAATGAAAATCTATACATCAAGTATAGTTTCAAATGAGGTTAGAAGTCATGAGCTAGTAACGGAAATGGTAGGCAGTCCGATCTGTATTCAGAGAAGTCTAACCAAGGTGTACTGTTCGAAGTCCTTGGTTAAGTTTATTCTCAGGGATTACTGGTAGTGGCCATGAGCCAGCCGCGGAGGCTGTCGTGTTGCTTGGTAATTTTTTTCTTTATGTAAACAGTGCAAATAGTAATAAGAGAAACCATGATGTTAAGAGCAACTCACGCAACGCTGGAGGTCGAACCTTTTGGGAATAGCACGAACATTGGTAGCAACGAATGAAGAGCCTTTGGGAATAGCTTGAATACTGATGATTACTACTACTGATAGGTCTTTGCGAATAGTATGAATACTGATGGCTACAACAGTTTCGACTTTGAGAATAGCATGAATACTCATGGCTATTACAGCTTAGCCTTTCGGAATAGCATGAATACTCATGACTACTATAGCTTAGCCTTTGGGAATAGCATGAATACCGGTGGGAATAGCATGAATACTTTTGGATACTGATAACTCAGTTGGAAGTAACGTAATCCTGATGGCTCTTCCTTTTTAGCCTTTAGGAAGATTATGAATGCTGACGGGTACAGCCGGGATTGATTGCCTGAAGCGGCAGAAAATGTTGATAAAATAGCTGGAACTTTGTTCAACAGAGCAATGGCAGAAATGACTGGGGAGACAAAGAAACATTTGAGAAAAATAAGGGAGCAGTTGGGGACGCAAAGGAACAGAAGCGAAGGTAAAGGCACAACAGGGAAGTTAAAGGAATAGCCAATAACTAAAGGAGCAATTGGCTAGTTAAAGGAGCAGGTGGGTAGGTAAACTAAAGAGGTAAAGGAACAGCTTGAGAAAAGAGCATCCAAGCAGCGAAGTAAATGATACTTAGATGTTTTGGATACTTTTATCGACGACAACATTTCGCCCGCATAGTGAGCTTTAAAAAGTCATCGGAGGAGAAATGTTGTAATTAATAAAAATATCCACATAATTTAAACTGCGTTTGCTCCACCTCGTTAGTTTTTATATACCATTCCACTTCCAAGTAAGCAGCGAATGGGACAGCTGAGAAGGTAAAGAAACAGGTGGCAGTGAAGGAGCTGATTTACGAATGAAACAGTTGAGCACTAAATTGAACAGTTGGATGATGAAAGAAACAGCCTGGCCCGGCGGTGAATGGAAGAGCCGCTTGGTGAGTGGAAGAGCCGCTTGGTGAATGGAAGAGCCGCTTGGTGAATGAAAAAGCCGGTGTTGAATTCCATGGTATATATTAACTAAAATTTAACCAATCTAAACTTTTAGTAATTAATGTCGTCTCGGGTCCGCATGAGAAATGTTCAACTTACATAATGGAGCATTTTTGTATGTCTCAAAAATCACGAAGTAATACAAACCACGGAGACAGATAATGGTAAACGTTAAACTAATTATTACTTCATAATAAAAAGCAAAATCGGTGTAAAATTAGTCATATTGTCAGTTTGTTTCATAGTCAATACGCTTTTGTTGAAAAGTTTTAGCTTAATGTCTAATTATGAATTTTCATGAGCTGTAAGTTGCTAGTTTTATGTCACGTTGATTTTATTTTTTTTTGTTTCTGCTTGAGGCTCCTGGAGAACATCATGACCATCCTGATTATAAACCCGCATGTTCGAATTGCAGTAAAGCCTTTACCATTTCTTTATGCCTCTTCGATACTCTCCCATTGATTGTCCTGATTCAAAATTAATTTTTCTGACTACTTCACATGTCTGAACTCTGCTGATTCTTCAAGTCAAATTGTCTCCGAGTCAGAATGTTCTTCCTTTCTCCTTGGCTTTTTTATCCTTAAGTATTTTCTTTTACTCTACATTATCTTGCCCTACTCTTTTAAATATAACCTCTGTCATTTTGTCTCTTCTAGGCCTATCCTTCCTAACCGTGTTTCCTAGGCCTGCCCTAAATTATCACGGTTACACTATGACACACACACACTAATAATTTCACGTAACTTCGTTTAGTATAATCATATTCAATTTCTCCTACATATCATGTTAAAGTCTTTCCAAGTCACTTCTAGTGTCCAGCGAAAGTCCTTTACTGAGTCCTGCAAACCGGATGTGGAACCTCGATTAAGGGTTTAAAATGAGCCCAAATCAGGTATTTTCTTATATGAATTAACTCACAGCCAGAATTCTTTTTGCATGAATTTGGTTTGCCCTTTTGAAAATAATCTTTTACGTTACCCGACTGACTTCGTCTCATTCACCACTTCTATATACCAATTTATTTTATTTTATTTAATAATGTTAATTTCGTTTAACTGTGTTAAGTACACGGAGGTTGACCAACTAAACCAAACTGTTAATGGTGGTTCGAATGAAGTCAGCTATTAATGACGCAATATCGGAATTTTGTCCGTCCTTTTCTTGTATTTAGAGTAGAAGTCTTGCAAATTCCACTCAAAGTTTTCCTTTTAAACAGCGTAAAGACGATTTCAGTGATTCACAAACTTTTCAATTTCGCGTTTCGTTTTCTGGTTCGTTTTCGAGGCGAAGGTTCACACAGGGATACATGTTTGTGTTACATTCATGTTACAGTGACGCAGGCATACGCGCTTCTGCTACAGAGGCTCACACATACACGTTAAAACAAAGAGAAAGATAAACATTCGTGTGTGAGGTCGAACTTATTTTATTTCCAAACGCAGCTGGTTTCCCTAATATATTACTCCTTCCGCTCATTATGATGCACTGTCATAGATTGTTCCCTTCGATGATTATGCTACACTGGCTTAGATTATTCCTCACGATGATTATGCTACACTGGCATAGGATAAAGGTCGGGAGAGGTGATCCATAATATCTGGTACTCGAGGGAACAATGCGACGCTTCTCGTAAGTTGCTGTCACAGTGTGAATGGTTGTGATCTTAGGGTGTTTGTTGCGGCGGCCAGCACCAACACAAACACCTTTGTGATCAAGGAGTTATAACATACCTATGACATACCCGTGTCTGGTTTCCAGAGATCTACTCTCGCATTCAGACCGCCATTCCCTGACACCAGACTTCTTTGTGGACCGCCTAATCAACCAGGCTCTTGTTGCTCGCTGCCCGCAGGGCTACATAGCCATTACAGTCTAGTTGTTCTGGTGCTTGTTCCTATTTTCCCTTGAAAATTTCTACCCTTCGCATCTTTTTTATCTCGTCAAAACGGGAAGCACAGCATTTCGTTATGACTTTAATGATACATTTCTTCCACTTTCTAGATGCATAGACGCAATTCTGATCAATATAGATATAAACACAGAAAACGCATTCGCTCAGGGTAAGAACTGCATCAAGTCATGAAATTAACATAGCCCAACCCTGGGCGAAGCGCTAGTCCAATAAATGTCCATCCTGAGTATTTTCTCATCAGAGCTGTATTCTACCCAAAAGAATATTTTCCCGCGCCGCTGATGAGTCACGCCGGACTGCTGTAAATCTCACGACTCTTGTCAGCCACTGAGAAGACCGAATCTTTTCCACTGAAAAATCACTGGAATTCCTCTTGTCATTTTTATTACTTCGACAGCACGAGCCTCAATCATGGTCATTGACGTCGAGATGAGAAATGATGTCTCGGCGGTGAGACGATGTCTAGGCGGTGAGATGATGTCTCGATGGTTAGATGACGTCTCGGGAGTGAGACGATGTGTAGGCGTGAGATGATGTCTCGGCAGTGAGATGATGCTTCGGCGTGAGATGATGTCTCGATCGTAAGACGTCTCAGCATTGAGATGTTTCGGTGTGAGATGATGTCTCGACAGTTATATGATGTCTCAGGGTGAAGGGATGTCTTGAACCAAGATATCTTATGTTCTAGTATGAGGTGATGTCTTGATGTGGGTTGAAGTCTCGGTGTAAGGTGATATCTCGCTGTGAGGTGATGTCTCGGTGTGAGTTGATGTCTTGGTGTGAGGTGATGTCTCGGTGTGAGGTGATGTCTCGGTATGAGGTGATGTCTCGGTTTGAGGAGATGTCTCATTATGAAACGAAGCGTGACTTATTACGGATGTCAACGAGGATGTCAGGAAACGTCTTCAGTATAGGATGGTAATGCCACCGTGAGGCTGCGAAAGATACAGTACTCGCAAATATGCCGGAAGCAAAGGTGGAAATGTCGTCTGAAGGTGCTAGACATGAACACAAGATGAGAGATGTCGCTAAATATTCACAGACGACATCAAAGTCGCCGCGAGGCTGTAGCCGGATGATGGAAAGCGACAGCGTAGTAGCCAGATGATGGCAGACGACTTCATTGTAGCCGGATGATAGCAAACGACATCGTTGTAGCCCGATGATGGCAATCGACAACAGAGATGCTGTGCCGCTGTCGCCAAGTGATTGAAGGTATCAGTCGAAAATGTAGGTGCAGTTGGTCTTGCCTCTCAGGTACTCTGGGTGGATCTCCTCCTCCAGCGGCTCCACTCCCTTGGCCAGCAGGTCATCCCGCACCTGCAGGAGCACCCAAAATGTGAGTCAGAAAATACAATACGTGTGCTAGATTCAATCAAGAAATGCGAATCAGATAAAAGATGTGTCACACAGAATCTGGAAATATGAGTCGGGTTAAAAAAGACGTGTAAAACAATATAATATGTATGACTTGGATAAAGGCTGAGAGACACAGGTACAAGGAAATGATTTGTGAAATGGGTAGATTATTATTATTATAATCAAGGGGGAAGCGCTAAACCCGGAGGATTATACAGCGCCTGGGGGGGGGGATGTGGAAGGCATTCAGGCTTAATTCGGGGAACTGGAGCACAGATCCAATTCCCTAAATCAAGAGCCCCTCACCAACATCAAGGAACCTTCCTTGAGGGGTGAAATGGGTAGAACAAAATTCATTTCTTAAAAACAGATGAAAAAACATAACCGCTGCAACTAATAAGTTATGAATGTCGTGCAGACATACATGCAGATGCACACACACACACACACCACACACACACACACACACACACACACACACACACACACACACACACACACACACACACACACACACACACACACACACACACACACACACGACACGACGGAGGGAATATACTCCGAAGTGTCCCTGTTTGCAGATGACGTGAAGTTGATGAGAAGAATTCATACGATCGAAGACCAGGCAGAACTACAAAGGGATCTGGACAGGCTGCAGACCTGGTCCAGCAATTGGCTCCTGGAGTTCAACCCCATCAAGTGCAAAGTCATGAAGATTGGGGAAGGGCAAAGAAGATCGCAGATGGAGTACAGTCTAGGGGGCCAGAGTCTACAAACCTCTCTCAAGGAAAAAGATCTTGGGGTGAGTATAACACCAGGCACATCTCCTGAAGCGCACATCAACCAAATAACTGCTGCAGCATATGGGCTGCTAGCAAACCTCAGAACAGCATTCTGACATCTTAATAAGAAATCATTCAGGACCCTGTACACCGTCTACGTTAGGCCCATATTGGAGTATGCGGCACCAGTTCGGAACCCACAATTACCCAAGCACGTAAAGAAACTAGAGAAAGTGCAAAGGTTTGCAACAAGACTAGTCCCAGAGCTAAGAGGTATGTCCTACGAGGAGAGGTTAAGGGAAATCAACCTGACGACACTGGAGGACAGGAGAGATAGGGGGGACATGATAACGACATACAAAACACTGAGAGGAATTGACAAGGTGGACAAAGACAGGATGTTCCAGAGATGGGACACAGTAACAAGGGGACACAGTTGGAAGTTGAAGACACAGATGAATCACAGGGATGTTAGGAAGTATTTCTTCAGCCACAGAGTAGTCAGTAAGTGGAACAGTTTGGGAAGCGATGTAGTGGAGGCAGGATCCATACATAGCTTTAAGCAGAGGTATGATAAAGCTCACGGTTCAGGGAGAGTGACCTAGTAGCGACCAGTGAAGAGGCGGGGCCAGGAGCTTGGACTCGACCCCTGCAACCTCAACTAGGTAAGTACAACTAGGTGAGTACAACTAGGTGAGTACACACACACACACACACACACACACACACACACACACACACACACACACACACACACACACACACACACACACACACACACACACACGAACCAGCAAGACTGGATCAAGTATTCTCCTTGAGTAGTGCAGATACTGAGGACATCACATATGACAGACCCCTTGGGGCCGGTGACCACATGGTTCTGAGCTTCGAATACATAGTACAGTTACAAGTGGGGAGGGAAGCAGGAAGGGCAGGACGAATGAAGCCAGACTACAAGAGAGGCTACTACACAGGCATGAAGAATTCCCTGCACAAGCTTAAATGGGGCAGAGCAGTGGAAGGGAAGTCATTAAATGAGATGATGGAATAAGTGACAACAATATGCAAGGAAGTTGAGTAGAGGTTTGTACCCAAGGGTAACAGAAATAACGAGAAGGCCTCGATGAGCCCTTGGTACACTCAAAGGAGTAGAGGCTAAAACCAAGTGTGCTAGGGAATGGAAGAGGTATAGAACGAAAAGAACCCAAGAGAATAAGGAGAGTAGTCGCAGAGCCAGAAACCAATATGCACAGGTAAGAAGGGAGGCACAACGACAATACGAAAATGACATAGCAGCGAAAACAAAATCTGACCCGAAGCTATTGTGCAGCCACATCAGGAGGAAAACAGCAGTCAAGGACCAGGTAATCAGGCTGAGAAACGACCGAGAAGCATGTGAGGAGTCCAACATGAGATTCAAAAAAGTGTTCATGAAGGAGACAGAAGAGACTCCAGAAAGACTGAGAGGTGGGGTACACCATCAAGTGTTCGACGCAATACATAAAACCGAGGAAGAAGTGAAAAGGCTGCTAAGCGAGCTAGATATTTCAAAGGCGATGGGGCTGGATAACATCTCTCCGTGGGTTCTGAGAGAGGGGGAGCAGAGGCGCTATGCATGCCACTAACAACAATCTTCAGCATATCTATAGAAACAGGGCAACTACCTGAGGTGTGGAAGACAGCAAATGAAGTCCCAATTTTTAAAACAGGAGACAGACAAGAAGCATTAAACTACAGACCAGTGTCACTGATATGAATAGTATGGGAAGTTATGGAGAACATTATCAGGAGAAGAGTGGTGGAGCACCTAGAATGGATTGAGCATATCAATGACAACCAGCACGGTTTCAGGGAAGGAAATCCTGTGTCACAAACCTAATGGAGTTATATGACTGGGTGACAGCAGTAAGAGAGAGAGAGACTGGTGGGTAGACTGCTATTTCTTGAACTGTAAGAAGGCTTTTGACATAGTTCCACACAAGAGATTAGTGCATAAACTGGAGAACCAGGCAGGTATAAGAGGGAAGGCGCTGCAAGGAATCAGGGAATACCTGTCGGGAAGACATCAGAGAGTCATGGTATGTGATGAAGTGTCAGAGTGGGCGCCTGTGACAAGCTGGGTTCCACAGGTGTCATTCCAAGGACCGGTTCTGTTTCTGGTATATGTGAACGACATGATGGAAGAAATAGAAGTATCCCTGTTTGCAGATGAGGTGAAGTGATGAGAATTCAATTGGACAAGGATCAGGCAGAACCACAAAGGAATCTGGGCATCTGCAGGTCTGGTCCAGAAACTGGCTCCTGCAGTTCAACCCCACCAAGTGCAAAGTCGTGAAGATAGGGGAAGAGCAAAGAAAACCGCAGATAGAGTACAGTTTAGGGGCCAGAGACTACAAACATCACTCAAGGAAAAGGATCTTAGGGTGGGTATAACACTGGGCACATCTCCTGAGGCGCACATTATCCAAATAACTGCTGCAGCATATGGGCGCATGGCAAACCTAAGAATAGCATTCCGACATCTCAATAAAGAATCATTCAGGACCCTGTACACATGTATGTCAGGCCTATATTGGAGTATGCAGCACCAGTTTGGAACCCACACCTAGCTAAGCATGTACGGAAATTAGAGAAAGTGCAAAGGTATGCAACAATACTAGTCCCGGAGGTAAGGGGCATGTCCTACAAGGAGAGGTTAAGGGAAATCGACCTGAAAACACTGCAGGACAGGAGAGATAGGGGAGATATGATAACGACATATAAATTGAGAAGGTGGACAGAGACAGGATGTTCCAGAGATGGGACACAGCAACAAGGGCTCACAATTGGAAATTGAAGACTCAGATGAATCACGGGGATGTTAATAAGTATTTCTTCAGTCACAGGGTTGACACGAAGTGGAATAGTCTGGGAAGTGATGTAGTGGAGGCAGGATCCATACATAGCTTTAAGGAAAGGTATGATGAAGCTCATGGAGTAGGAAAATGGACCTAGTAGCGACCAGTGAAAAAAGGGGCCAGGAACTGTGAATCGACCCCTGTAACCACAACTAGGTGAGTATGTTAGGGACACATTAGGGCCACTACCAGAGAGAAAGAAGACGAACCAGCAAGACTGGAAACAGTATTCACCTTATGTAGTGCAGATATTGAGGACATCACTTATGAAAGGCCCTTTCGAGCTAGTAATGTGGCTCTGAGCTTCGAATACATAGTAGAGTTGCTTTTGGAGAGGGAAGCAGGAAGGGCAGAGTGGAGGAAGCCAAACTACAAGAGAGGGGACTCACAGGCTTGAGGAACTTCCTTCACAAGGTTCAGTGGGACAGAGAACTGGCAGGGAAACCAGTCAATGAGATGATGGAATGTGTGACAACAACATGCAAGGCAGCTGAGAAGAAATTTGTACCCAAGGGCAACAGAAAATAAGGAGAAAGCCAGAACGAGCCCTTGGCTCACCCAGAGGTGTAGAGAGACCAAAACTAAATGTGCTGGAGAATAGAAGAAGCATAGGAGACAAAGGACTCGGGAGAATAAGAAGAGAAGTCGAAGAACCAGAAATGAATATACACGGATGTTGAGGGAGGCCAAACGACAATACGAAAATGGCATAGTAGCGAAAGCCAAGTCCTACCCAAAGCTGATGTACAGTCACATCAGGAGGAAAACAAGTCAAGGACCAGGTAATCAGGCTGAAAAAAGAAGGAGGCGAAGTATATGAGCAGCTGAACATGAGATTTAAAGAAGTATTCACAGTGGAGACAGAAAGGAGTCCTGAAACATGAAGGGGTGGGGTACACCATTAAGTGCTAGACACAATACATACAACCGAGGAAGAGGTGAGGAGGCTGCTAAGCGAGCTAGATACCTCGAAGGCGATGGGGCCAGATAACATCTTCCAATGGGTTCTGAGAGATGGAGCAGAAGCACTCTATGTACCACTAACAACAATCCTCAAAATATCTCTTGAAACTGGGCATCTCCCGGAGGTATGGAAGACAGCAAATGTAGCCCCAGTTTTTGAAAAAGGAGACAGACACACATCACTAAACTACAGACCAGTATGACTGATATGCATAGTATGCAAAGTCACAGAGAAGATTATGAAGAGATGAGTGGTGGAGCACCTAGAAAGGAATGAGCTTATCAATGACAACCAGCATGGATATAGGGACGGGAAATCCTGTGTCACAAACCTACTGGAGTTCTATGACAAGGTGACAACAGTATGGGAAGAGAAAGAAGGGTAGGTAGATTGCATTTTCTTTTACTGTAAGAAGGCTTTTGACACAGTTCCACACAAGAGATTAGTGCGAAAGCTGGTGGATCAGGAAGGTATAACAGGGAAAGCACTGCAATGGATCAGAAAATACCCGATGTATCCCTGTTTGCAGACGATGTAAAGTTAATGAAGAGAATTCTGGACAGGCTACAGGTCTGGTCTAGCAACTGGCTCCTGGTGTTCAACACCCAACAAGTGCAAAGTCATAAAGATTATGACCTGTGATGAAAAGCTAAAGGAACTGAAGTTGCATCATTAGAAGACAGAACCAGAGGAAACAAAAAAAAAAACAATATATAAAATGCTGTAATAAACTGATCGGTTAAACAGGGATAGAAAGGTGATAAAGATGTACACGAGGTCACAGACGAATCATAGGGATGTTAGGAAGTACTTCTTCAGCCTGATGGTGGTGGTCAGGAAATGAAATGAACTAGATAAAAATGTGGTGGAGAAAGACTCCATACATAATTTTAAAGGCAGGTATGACGGGACGGAATGAACCTGTCAAGTGGCAAGTTGAAAAGCAGATCTGTAAGCTAAGACTCGACCTTACAACCATATACTGAGTACATGTATTTAAGTATAAACATTAATGCAGAAGACAGTGCCAAACCTCATATTCATCACAGAGTCAAACCTGTCAGACAATATCAGATGAAGTATTTCCAGTATGAAACCAAGTACTGACACGTAATCGAAGAAATAGAACACGAGGAGGTATACGCTGCTTGTAGGAAATCAATGTAGTCTCGAGGAAATATGAGATAGGAAGTAGTGAAGTTAACAACTATATAGCGCCAACACGGCCTGGGAACTAAAGGTAGTGGAAGTATACAATTCTCCACCTAACAGCAGGAGGCCAAAGCAATTGGACGAACAGAGCCCAAGGAGTTTAAAGGTCCGAAGAAAAGTTTCTTATAATGGGAGACTTTAATAACAATGAAACAGACAGTGAAATGCGAATTGCATAAGGATCCTGACTCGTGAAGTCAACACTGATGGAGGCAGTACCGAAGATATTCATGTGATAGCACTTCAGAAACATGAGAGAGAGAGAGAGAGAGAGAGAGAGAGAGAGAGAGAGAGAGAGAGAGAGAGAGAGAGAGAGAGAGAGAGAGAGAGAGAGAGAGAGAGAGAGAGAGAGAGATGAGGAACATCAGATATAACATAAAAAGAGGAAGGCCCGACCAGAAGCGAATGCCAGTGAAGCAATAAATAATTACAAATGAGTAGTGATAAACAAATAATCAAGAACAGTTAGCCACAAACAGGCATTCACAAACAGTTATCCACAAACAGGTATTGGCAAACAGTCAGCCACAAATAGGCAAGAATAAATAATCAGTATCAAACAGGAAATCACACACAGGTAAGCACAGATAATCAGTAACCAGTAAGTAATGGCATCCAGGTAGTTACAAACAGGTAACGAAAAACAGGTAACGACTCACCCTCTCCACCTCGGAGAAAACCCTGATGATGTTCTCTCCTATAAGTTTCCTAATGTCTTCTACCGTCCAGGTAGGATCTCTGAGGAGCTCCGCCAGCAGGAAAGGGTACTTGCTGACGTCCTCCAATCCATCTGGAGTCCTGCAGAGGAAGAGTGGTGCACTGTTAGTGGCGTCGGGTGAGACACTGGGGGTTGAAGATCGGAAAGGACAGTGCTGGATGGAGTGCTTTCGATGATATTGGTACGGTGAGGATGGTTGATTTTGTTGTTAGCGGTAAGTACTGTTGGATAAAACGCATATGTTCTTGGGGTAATGGCCAGAGACGAGCTTATTGTCAGGGTTGGTGGGTGTGGAGGACGGTGCTAGTTTTGCTGGTGACGAAAGGGAAAAGTGGCAAAAGATGGATGGTGGAAAATTGGTTGTGCGTAGTGTTAGTGGTGGTAGGAGCTTAGCGTGGAGGGAAGGAGAAATGGCTGCTATTTGGGGATGTGCAGTAGCTAGGGAAGCAAGGAACAGAAGCATAATATCTCGGAGAGAGTTGTGGCCGGATGGTAAGAAAAGGCGCAAAGATTTATTTGCCGTGGCTAAGAGTTGCCTAAGGGAAGATAATAGATCAATGGTGGAACGACAGTGGCAAGTAAAATTGACGATACACGTGAAATTTGATTGTGGTTTAATGGAGTATAAAAAAATGAAAAAGTGATGACAAAGAGGGTTAAGAAGTCAAGCGATAAAAGACAAAATATTGCACATTTCTTCAGTTATAAAAAAAAGCCAGTACTGATGGCCCGTTCAAGGCAGGAGAAAAATCAGAGCTTGAACAAATACAGAGATCGTTTACGGCACGCATAGAGCCAGTAAAACACTTAAATTACTGGCAACGCCTTAAAGTCTTGAATATATACTCACTGGAGCGGAGGAGAGATGCATTATAGTGTATACCTGGAAAGTATTCGAAGACCTGGTCCCAAATCTGCACACTGTCATAACAAAATACTGGAGCGAGAGGTATTGGGAGGAAGTGGAAAATGAACCAAATGAGGAGCAGGGGTGTGGTTGTACAATAAGGGAACACTGACCCCAGATTATTCACATCCTGCCAGAAAATATCAGAAGCTCTGCTGGAACAGGTATAGACGTCTTCAAGAGAAAACAGATCAACCAGGCTGTGATGGGTATGTGGGGCAGCAAGCCTCCAGCAGCAAGTCTGATTGACCAGAGTAGCACCAGAGGAGCCTTCCCCATGGCCGGGCTCCGGGAGTAGAAAGAACTTCGAAACTCATCAAAGGGACATCAAAGGTAATGGACAAAAATAATAAGAGATGAGCATCTCTCTGTGTACATATGCTGAGAGTTGACTTTACCCCCAGTTGACTGGTGGTGTACATGATATACGTAGCTTTTATGATCTTTGTATAGTAGATAAGCTTTAAACCCAATAAATAAAACATATCAAAAAAATTGAACAGAGGTGAGTCAAACAAGGAATCACACTTTTCACTGACACACTGATAAATGCACTCTTCTCTAAGGCTATATCCATCTTTGCATCGTATCGACTATAAATAGCAATATTTACTTGCAATAAGAGACAAAGAGGGACTTTTAAATGTGATATATTTTAGAAAGGAATATGGTACTGACAAATATATTAAACAAGAAGAGAGAAATAAATAAGTATACGAAGTATGATAAAATTATCCCTCCTACTTAAGGATACAATGAGAGGTGTGTATCATTCAGCTTAAATATATTGAAAATTTAGTCAGATCCCTGTTTTAGGGATTAAAGTGTCCTTGAGTGGTAATGTACAGATTCCATAAAGATAAATCGTTCATAATCTTTCATCAGATTGCATAAAGCCTTAATGATCCTTTCCTTTGTATAGTAGACAGGCATTAAACCTTCTTATTCAATAAAATAAAACTTAAGCGACAGCAGTGAACATATATCTGGCGCTATTAGTGAAATTTATTGAACCGCTCACCTTTTCCCTCTCATTCCACATAAGCCTTTTCACTTCCCCCACCCCGCACCCACCTTTTCTTCCCTCTCTTCCCTCCACAACCCACTCCCACCTCACACCCATCTCATCCCCCCTTCAGAGCCCCCACCCACCTTTTCTTTCCTCTCTTTTCTCCACAACCCTCGCCCACATATTCCCCCACCACAACTCCCATTAACCTTTTCCCACTCCACAACCCACACCCACCTTTTCCCACGTACACAACCAACACTCACCTCTTCTCACCTTCATAATGCACATCCACTTTTTCCTTTCTCAAATCTCTTTTTTTTTTTTTTTTTTTGCTCTTGCAGTACTGAGTAGTTGGATTATTATTATAATCAAAACTAAAACATGCGTTCCTAATGGTTTTTTGACCTAATTATAATTGCACTGAACAGGAAAGTTTTTAGTATACGTTTAAAACATGTTTTTCTAAATAAATCTGGAACGCTGAATTCAAATCTGAACCTAATTTTTCTCCCACATGTAGTTTCCTCATTTTCTGCTATGTTTCGCTTATATTATTGTTTATTGAGTGCCTACTTATTTTATTGAAAATAATTTATGATTTCGTTTGATTTTGTTGATTTATGAGATTGTTTTATCACTAATAGGCTGTTTATTTTCTCCTTTTTTCAGAATAAGTGGCATTTTCAACTGTCAAGTTATACACCTACAATGCCTAGTGGTTGCTTTAACGACAATCATGTTTTTTGTTATAAATGTAGCAACTTCACTCTGACAAAGCAGAGATTAAACATGTCGCCTCTTGTAACGACAGTTTGTTTTTATTCTGGTGTGAACGTCTTGATCATGACGAGCTGTGGGCACCTCATCGCTGTTGTGTGACTTAATTCAAACTTTTACATGAGTGATTTGCTGGAAGGAATTCATGCATGTCATTTGCAGTCCCGATGGTATAGAGGGAACTAAAAGGATCACACCACGGAAAATTTCTGCATTACACGAGTGTTGGAATTTTCATAAAAAAAATCCGAAATAACGTATTCACATCTTTCTTCTCTAATCAGACCGACGAAACATTCAGATCTCCAAATTCCAGTACCACCATCCTGTAAAGATAGATTTCTCTTTGATGATGAAGAGGCTACTGAATAAGATTTTGAGTTTGAGCCAGCTGAAGTCAGCAACCAGGAACCACATCTTACGAATCAGAGTGAATTTAATTATCTTGTGCATGACCTTAATTTTTTCAAGAAACAGTCGAAGATACCTGGTTCAGGATTGCTCTGGTGGAATTCACTGCGCCCAGATACAAGAATCAATTTGCTCAGAAAGCGACTGGAAAGTCTAGAAGCTGGTAAGTGAAAGAATCAATATTTAAGTGTTGTAATGTTGACTGACTTCTCGATGTTTTGGGTAAACATCATGATACGGTAATGTGTCGTTTGTTTATTGAATCAAGCAAAACAAGCCTGAAAGCAGCCAGCCTTACTTCATAATGACAACATCCTACCAATCATCATCTTGACAAAAGTCTCCAAGATGCTACCTGGAGTCTACCTGGAGGGAATTCCGGGGATCAACGTCCCCGCGACCCGGTCCACGACCAGGCCTCCCGGTGGATCAGGGCCTGATCAACGAGGCTGTTACTGCTGGCCGCAGGTAATCCGTACGAACCGTACGAACCACAGCCCGGCTGATCCGGCACCGTCTTTAGGTATTTACAGTTCCTCCCTTAAGTCAATGTGACCTGACCTGACCTGACTAGGTTGGGTGCATTGGCTTAAGCCGGTAGGAGACTTGGACCTGCCTCGCATGGGCCAGTAGGTCTGCTGCAGTGTTCCTTCGTTCTTATGTTCTTATGTTTCTTATCTTATCCGACTTCCTTAAAAAGTCTGTGAAGGAACCTCTTGAACTCTCCGACGTTTAGGTATCTGTCCAGCTCCCTCTTGAAGACAACCAGGGGTCTTCCCGTAATGCCCCTTATTGCTGGTGGGAGGCTTTTGAACAGTGAGGTGAGATTATGAGCGGAATTCAAGAATACTTCTGTAGCTTTCTTTGGCAATCATCACAGCGATGAGTACAGAAATATTGTAGAGGAGGCATTGACAGCATATCATTTAGGGTACTGTACCAGTCCTGTATCCTGAAGAGCTGGTTTTCTGGCCATCCTGCAAGAGGAATAACCAAGGAGATTCTATATCCTGGGAACGGAAGAACCTTTGACCTCACTATGATTATTGCAAAAGGCTTAGCAGGGGTCCTTACCAGAAGATCCAGGCGAAAAGTGCACCGTATATCTTCCCACCTGTAAAACAGCTCAAACTGAGAGTCAAACATAAGCAACTCACTGTCTCAAGCCTTGCAGTTCTCAGACATATAAAATAATTCATGATACTTAACAAAATAAAACTCTTCCAGACAAAAGCTCCCTGCCTCTGAGCTAATTTCATTGTACTCCCCGTTTGGTGTACTAGCCTTCACAGGCAGTATATATATATTACTGAAACTACGAACGAGTGGTATTTAATCAATAACAACACTGCGACTAGCTGAGGACTTCAACCTATGTCGTTTTAGCTTGCCTCTGGTGAGCGAAAATCACATGACGCTCTAACGCACAGGACCACTCAATCCTACAAGAATCATGCACCCAGCAGAGCTCGGTGTTTTACCGTGATCCGAGGACATACGGTGGTGTGGGTGCCTCTGAGCTAATTTCTACTCCCCGTTTGGTGTACTAGCCTCCACAAGCAGTATACATATTATTATGCGTGATTCTTGTAGGATTGAGTGGTCCTGTGGGTTACAGCGTCATGTGATTTTTACTCACCATGAGGCGGGCCAAAACGACATGGGTGGGTTCGAGTCCTCAGCTAGATATATTATATATATATATATATATATATATATATATATATATATATATATATATATATATATATATATATATATATAATATATATATAATATATATATATATATATATATATATATATATAATATATATATATATATATATATATATATATATCGTGCCGAATAGGCAGAATTTGCTATCTTGGCTTAAATAGCAACGCTCATCTTGCCAAATAGGACAAGTGAAAATTTGTGTATGCAATAATTTCGCCAAAATCATTCTGAACCTAACGAAAAAAATATATTTC